GTTTCGGACGTTGTACGCTCTGGCCTTCTTCAGGTGGTTGCAATGTCGAACAAATCCCTTTATTTCGCTCACTGGAGTAGACTGGAGTTACACGTACCATGTTTGGATGTCAGTTATCAGTTATCTTCTGTTAATTTCCCTCTGAATGTTCTCCACTGCCTTAACCGGATATTGAACTCACACTCTTTGGGTCCTGTCACTGGATCTAACCACTGTGCCATGTGTCCTAATAAATATGACGACAAAGATGAAGACAGTAGTCTGAATAATGTAAATAATGTGCATAATACCTCATCTTAGAAATATAGACAGATACTGAAGGGATAATTAGTGACAATGTTTAACTGACGAAGTTTACACAAGATTACAGTTATTAGGAGTAAAAACATCAGGAATTAGATGAATGAAAAACTAATCAAAATTTCATCTGAACTGACAATTCTTCATGGAACAAATGCGAATATTATTTAATATTCAGTTGCTTTCTATTAGAATTACAAAATCGTTAACTCATAATCGACAGGTGTCATGGATAAGATTCTTAGATAAGACACATTAAGATTCATTTTATTTCTTGGAAAAAGTGTATGCTGATCGAACGAAAAAGTGTAAAATTTAAAGAAGAAAAAGTCAAGAAGAATACAATTATTGGCACTATTTACACCGTTAGGGCTGCTGCTTTATTGGCACATTCACGACGTTTCGGCCACTGTACTCCCAAGCCTTCTTCAGGATCTGTCTATGTTTCTGAGATGACATATTGTAACTATTTACACTATTAATATCGTTAGTACTGTTGTCTTCATCTTTATTGCCATATTCACGACGTTTTGGCCGTGTATGCTTAAGCCTTCTTCAGGACCTCTCTATATTTCTGAGATGAGGCATTTTAACTATTTACATTATTTATATCAATCGGACTGTTGTCCTCATATTTATTGACCGAATTCAGAACGTTTTGACCTTTGTACGCTCCAGCCTTCTACAGGATCTGTCTATATTTCTGAGATGAGGTATTGTAAATATTTACACTATTTACATCACTCGGACTGTTGTCCTCATATTTATTGTCTGAATTCACGACTGAGACGACGTATTGTAACTATTTACACTATTTACATCATTCGGGATATTGTCCTAATCTTTATTGACATATTCATGTTGTTTTGGTCGTTGTAGGCTCAGGTCTTCTTCAGAATATATCTATATTTTTGAAATGAGTTATTGTAACTCTTTACTCTATTTTCATTATTCGGAATGTTGTCCTCATATTTATTTCCATATTTACGATGTTTCGGCCGTTGTACGCTCCAAACTTCTTCAGGGGACATAAGTTGGATTTCGAATCGAACACTTTATTTAGTCCACGGGGATGGATTGTTCTAATTCCACGTGCCATGCCTTTTTTTTGGATATCTCAGTATCAGTTAATTCTATTTAGTAACGCAAATCGTTGTTCCTTCTGCTATGGCCTAATGAGTAAAAGCGTTGGTTGAGTAGCCCTAACCGTGATTTGACCCAAAGAGATGTGAGTTCAATACCTGGTCTCAGCAGATAGAACAAAAACTTGGAAATTTTTTTTTCAAGGGAAATTAACTAAAACTTAATTAACAGGCAATCAAATACATATATTTATTCAGGGTGCGAAGAATAAATTATCGTCTAAATGACGCAAAAATAAAAAAAATTACACTGACATCTCATTTTAACAGATATATTTACTAACATTACACAAAACTATCTTAAAATTTCGAAAGACTAAATTTATTCAATACAATTACCATTGGTTTCAACCACCGCCTCCAGACGACTTCGGAATTTCCTTTTTTCTTGAGAATTCTGCAAAATACCTTCCCTTCAGTTAATCTTTGGTGTTACAAAGAGTTTTGTTGACCCCTCGCTAATTACACCTCATATATAATAATCAAGGTGTTTACTGTCTGGGGAGTTAGGTATCCAGATGTAAGGGAGGTGTGGTCGCAGAAATTGTCTGGGAACCAATCTCCTTCTTGTGTGGCATGGTCTAGTCCAGTTCCCATACATAGGCTCTTCCAGCCGCCATCTTGTGGATCCAGGACTACCTTCTCAAGACACTTGATGTACACCACTGTGTTGAGTCTGAGGCCGTGTGGCAAGATGAATCGAGGCATAATATTGTTATCACTAGTGATCAGTCTAGACACCATGATATTGACTGGATATATCATCCAACTGTTTCTGAACATTGCGCACTGCCCTCACTCATAATGACTTCAAACCACTCTGAAATGTTCGTAATGGAGCTTCCGGCGCGAATGCCAAGAAGTACAGCATACCGGCGCCGATCTGACTCTACTAAATCAAAAACAGCAACGTGCATACGCGAAATTAAATATATAAAATGGCAAAAAATTTCCCCGTCGCACCCTGTATTCATATATATTTAAATAATAATAATGATAGCAGACCACTCGTATTCGAGGATACCCGTCTACTAGTGCGGCTATCCAATCCCTATTGCAGACTCTCGCTCAGGCACATTTTATGTTTGTTCAACACCCACAGAGCCAACCTGGGGTTTATATTGCAACTATGCTGAGCAGACCTTAGTTACAGATTCTGGAAAAAAAAAGCGTATTATCTAGAATGATCAACAATTTGAACAACACCAGCACACTCAAACGCTCGGTCACGATGACTTGTGACTTCGTGCTAGCACAGATACCTACGGCCCCAAGTGTTTCAAATTTAAATACATATATATTTATATACATATATATATATATACGTTCAGGTGAAACCTAGGTAGGTTTTTCTGGCTCTTTAGGATTTCTTTTATTTATTCCCGCTCAACTTAGCTTATTGAGCATTCTATGTTTTAGCATTACGACTTGCTTAGTTTTTTTTTTTTTTTTTTTTTTTTTTGAGTAAAGACTTAAGGCACTGGACGATTTGTTTCGCCATGTTCAACTGTTTTTAGTTCTTTCTTTTCTTTTTCCAATTTTTTTCGGGTACCGATTTTTTTGACACCTGCAAGTTGTGCTCCCCGAGTTTTTTTTTCACAACCGTGTATTATATATATATATATATATATATATATATATATATATATATATATATATATAATTGGTGTAAGATAACTTATAAAAAGTTAGCCGTTTTGTCGGATTTAATGTGTTGAAACAAAATGGCTATTTTTGTAGTGATTTTATAAGATGTTTATGTTATAAATTTTCTAAATAAATAATTATATATATATATATATATATATATATATATATATATATATATATATTATATATATTATGTCGATCAGATTCATAGGAGATTATATTAATCTTTTAAATTTCCTTTAATTTAAGCTCAGAGAAAGTTGATTTAGCGTTCTACTGATTTCAAGGTTTACCTTACACAAAAGCTAATCAGTGTCAGACAAATTGACCCTACAAATTGATCGATACCTGATGCGATAGAAATACCCCCACCATATTATCTCCCAGAAATACCCCCACCATATTATCTCCCAGAAATACCCCACCATATTATCTCCAAGAAATTCTGTAGGTATTTTGGTAGGGGTATGTACAGGGGGGGCGACACTATTTTTGGCTAACTAAGATTAAGATAAGACAGATTAATGACAAAACTTCTCTTATCCCTCTCTTGTATTTTCAAAATAAATATTACTTTACTTAATGCTACCTGGACTCTGAATTTGAGCGCATTACTAGATTGGCAGCTAGGTCTCATCATTTTACAGTAGAAATGGCTAGATGTAACCGTAAGTTCTGTGCATATAGTTTCTCCTCTCGACATTCTCAATTGTGGAATTCTTTTCCGGCTGCTTGCTTTACAGTCAAGTCTAATCTTGAAAAATCTAAATGCAATGTCAATCGTTATCTTGTCTTTGCTGATTTCCTGTTCTTTTGTCGTTTTTTCCCCTTAATAATGATTTTCTTTTTCTCATATATATTTTCACAATCAGTGCGCCTCTGTGACTTTGTTGTCTTGCTTAGGGTGAAATGATTGAAGATAAAATTTCACATTCATCCTTAATATCATCATTTGTTCCATGACCGGATGTAGTTTTTGTCATATATATTTTCACAATCAGTGCGTCTTAGTGACTTGTTTAGGGTGAAATGATTGAAGATAAAATTTCGTATTCATCCTTAATATCCTCATTTGTTACATGAACGGACGTGATCGTAGGTTCATTGTGTAGCCGAGCACCTCTGCTTTGAAAACCGGAGGGCGTACAGGGGGCCGACACTATTTTTGGGACACTTTGAAAAGTGTGCTTAAAGGTTGTTTTTTTTTTGCTACCGAGAGCTTTTGTGTTGATGAGTAGGTAGTTCAGCAGTAACTGTCCATTAATGGTATGAACATTGATTGATGGGTTTGTCTTTGGTTTCATGTTTTCTTTATTTTTACTTCAACTTAGGCGACACTATTTTTCGGACATGACACAAATTCCGGGTTTTTTAATGATTTAGTCGTCGAGCGTCTACAATATGCAAATTTTCTGCAGGTAAATTGTACCCTGACCATTACATTTAAGTATCTTTACCATTCACTGCGAAAACGTATTAAAATCCTGAAGAAGAATGCATTCAAAAGAAGTCATCAGTTTGGTCCAAAAGAAGAGAAAAGACGGGCTCAGCATCCGAAAGATCGCTGCTGAGATGAAGCTACCGAAGTCAACAGTTGAATACATGCTAAGTACAGACTATGAGCGAAAGAAGAAGAGAGGACGGAAAAATACAATTTCCAAGAGAACAGAAAGAAGAATGAAGAGGAGTGTTACGAGGTTGTTATCGTCTGGAGAAAAGGTGACAGTGAAAAAAGTAAAGGAGAAGTGTGAACTTGACGTCAGTGTTCGAACTGTACAAAGAAAGCTACACGAAATTGGACTTAAGTATGTTAAAATCAAGAAAAGAATTCCACTAACGAGAAAACACAAGGAGGCAAGGTTGGGAAGCACCAAAAGATGGATAACAAACCATATTGACTTCAAGAAAATGATATTTACTGATGAAAAACGCTTTAAATTCGATGGACCTGACGGCTCGAGAAAAGGTGAACCTATTATTCTCAACAAGAGACAGATGGGAGGAGGAGGAGTCATGGGGTATGGTATTTCCGAATGGAAACTTGTGGCTCGAGTGGTCAAAAGGACGTCAAAACAGCTTGAGCTACAGAGTACTTTTGGAAAAGAGAGCCCTATCGCCCATAGAAAAAGAAATGGGAAGTAATTTTATTTTGCAGCAAGATAACTGTAGCATCCATGTGGCCAAAGCAGTGAAAAATTGGATGTGTGAAGCAAATATAACTACTCTGGAATGGCCTGCAAGAAATCCAGACTTAAATTTAATTGAAAACATATGGGAAATGCTTGCAGAGCTTGTTTACGACGGGACAGAAATAACCAGAGAGGCTGAACTGTGGCAGCGCATACAAAATGCTAAAAATAGACTGCTAGAAACACGAAGAGACGTTATTATCAATATGTACGAACATTATGAAGATAGACTGATAGAAGTCATTGAAAAAAAGGGTGCTGCCATAAACTATTAGCATTGTTTCTGCAACGTCCGAAAAATACTGTCGCCTGTGTAATGTGAAAATTTGTAAGAAAATAAAAATACTTCTAATTTGAATTCTGCTTTTCCATTTGTAGTATTGAAACAGTTTTTAAATGTTATTGCCATTAGACTACAACAGTACAGACTGCCTGTGCTACCTAAAACTTGAAAAAATAAAGTGTCTGAACAATAATGTCGGCCCCCTGTAGACCAGAAGACCTATCGCATAATGGTACGACATTAGTGGAAATGGTTTTTTCATATAGCTAATATCTTACCGTTATGCGGGAGGTATTTCTGGCAGGTAATATGGTGGTATAGTTATGGGAGGTAATATGTTGGGGTATTTCTGGGAAGTAATATGGACGGGTATTTCTGGGAGCTAACATGGTCAGGTATTTCTGGGAGGTACTATGGTGGGGTATTTCTGGGAGGTAATATTGTAGGGTATTTCAGTCAGTTATGTGCCATTCGTGACACACGCTTAGGCGATCATGTAATTTTCGATACATGACTGATAGATATATATATGGCCTGAAAATTGCGTTTAAGCATGAAACAGACTGTACCCGCAGGGTGTTGACCTCAATGTCCACTTCTATAATTACTTCTATAATTATATACGTTCTATCCCTGATGTTGGGCAATTTAACTTTAAAATTAGCAGTTTAGACCTTAGTTTCGACCTCACGGTCTCATCTGGCTAATTCTATCAACTGATCAAACAACGCTTTACTTTAAAAACAAAACAAAACTACAACAAAAAAAAACACAAATAAGGCTACATTATTATTTTTCAGAAATAAATAAATAAACAAACACAGGTTGTGGTCAAACGCATAACGTTGAGTGTAACAGAAAGGCGGGTAAAGAGGAGGGAGAAGAAAAAGAAGAAGAAGGATCAAGAGAAAAGAAGAAAGCGTGTGTGTATATATATATATATATATATATATATATATATATATATATATATGTGTCATTCAGCAGGCAGCACTGTTTCGCTGTATCACAGCTCCTCAGTGCGACTAGACATCCGAATACTTCCCGGATTGATATATATATATATATATATATATATATATATATATATATATATATATATATATATATATATATATATATATATATATAGTTAGTTAGTTAGTTTATGCAAAACTAGGTAATCCGTATGGGTGAACCCAAGGAGGATGATATCCGGAGAGTTCAATGTAAATTCAGAGCTAATATGTTTGAATAAAAGACAGACCACTTTAAGGAAGGCACTATGAATTAAAGCAAAAGAAAAGATTTTTTTAGCAACGAGTTATTTCCCCTGGGAGACATCATTAAGATTAATGCGAGGATTTTATTTTGTAACATTTATTCAAAACCAGAAAGAAAGAGCATACGACGCCCGAAACGTTGTAATAAATATGGCGACAAAGATGAGGACAATAGTCCAAATAATGTAAATATTGTACATAATATCTCATCTCAGAAATATAGGCAGATACTGAAAGGCCGAAACGTTGTAATAAATATGGCGACAAAGATGAGGACAATAGTTCGAATAATGTAAATAATGTACATAATACCTCATCTCAGAAATATAGACAGATACTGAAGGGCCGAAACTTTGTAATAAATATGGCAACAAAGATGAGGACAATAGTCCGAATAATGTAAATAGTGTGCATAATACCTCATCTCAGAAATATAGGCAGATATGAAAGGCCGAAACGTTGTAATAAATAGTGCGACAAAGATGAGGACAATAGTCCGAATAATGTAAATAGTGTACATAATACCTCATCTCAGAAATATAGGCAGATATGAAAGGCCGAAACGTTGTAATAAATAGTGCGACAAAGATGAGGACAATAGTCCGAATAATGTAAATAGTGTACATAATACCTCATCTAAGAAATATAGACAGATATGAAAGGCCGAAACGTTGTGATAAATATGGCAAGAAAGATGAGAACAATAGTCCGAATAATGTAAATAGTGTACATAATATCTCATCTCAGTAATATAGTCAGATACAGAAATATTTTGAGAGTGCATCTATCTTCTTTGGCCAAAATATTAATTTACACACTGTTTTTTTTTTTTTTAATTTCAAGAAACTGTCGGCATAGAACATGCATCTCGCAATTTTGACTCTAAAATGATAGTACTGCGTTTGAATTCGTAAAGTCTGGGTCAGTCAGTTGCTGTGCCATTCAGGATACACGCTTAGGCGATCATGTATCTTTCGATACATGACAGACGAGGTAGATTTTTTCACGCAGTAGGTCGCCATTTATTTCTGCGGTAGACCAGTTGCCATCCAAGACTACAGAACTCGGTCTGCCCTGCTATTTACACATAGCTGGGGGGGGGGAGAAGAGTATTCATACCTTTCCCAAGGGCCAGCGTGATAAACGCTTAGGCGATCATGTATCTTTCTATACATGACTTATGAGACATATTTTTTCCCCCAGTAGGTTGCCATTTCTTTCTACGGTATATAAGTTGTCATCTAAGTTTATAGAAGCTGGTCTGTCCTGCTATTTACCCATAGCTAGGAGGGAGAAGAAGAGGATTCATACCTTTTCCAAGGGTAATAGTACGTCACTCAGTCAGTCATGTGCCATGCATGATACACGCTTAGGCGATCATGTATCTTTCGATACATGACTGACAAGGTAGATTTTTTCCCCTCAGTAGGTTGCCATTTCTTTCTGCAGTAGACCAGTTGTCATCCAAGGCTATAGAACCCGGTCTGCCATACTATTTACCCATAGCTGGGTGGGTAGAAGTGGAGGATTTATATCTTTTCCAAGGGTATTAGCATGTAAGTGAATGTAATGGATTCGATTGGAATTTGAATACATTACATTCACTTACGTGCTAATACCCTTGGGAAACGTAAAGTGAAAAGCTCATTAGAACAATTAAAATGAAAATATTTATGGGAATGGCACAGAGAAGCTACATCAAAACAGAACGGAAATGACTGAAACTGAAACGTCAGGTTAGAACAAAGAGCATTGGAAATACGTCTTTTGATTTTATCAAAAATCTCACAAGGACCAGACCATATGTGACAGGAACATTTAATGCACAAACGTATGGTAGACTTATAAATGTGTAAAACAGATTTGGGAGAGAAAAGAATTTTCTTGCAAGACATAGCGAAACAACTTTCAAATCAAACTTTATTGATTAAATACAACAAACTGTCACTAACTTTTTATTGTATTTTTTTCTCCAATATTCGAATATCATTTACCACAGGGGACGATATCTTGAAGCTCATATGGCCTATTTAATCTGTATAATAAAAAGAAAATTAAAAAAAAAAAAATTTTGGTGCAGTCACACTTCACTAAACCGCTACAGATGACGTAACTGTGAAACTTTGTTTTTCAATCATTTCAACCTATGCAAGGCAATAATGCCACTAAGACGCATGGGGGTGGTTACTGGGAGTGAAAGAGAGTAAGATTTTAGTGATGAAAAAGGACAATAAGACTTTAGTGGGGAGAAATGACAATAAGACTTTAGTGAGGAGAAAGGACAATAAGACTTTAGTGGGGAGAAAGGACAATAAGACTTTAGTGAGGAGAAAGGACAATAAGACTTTAGTGAGGAAAGAAAATAAGACAATAAGACTTTAGTGGGGGAGAAAGGACAATAAGACTTTAGTGAGGAGAAAAGGACAATAAGACTTTAGTGGGGGAAAATAAGAAAGGAGAAATGACAATAAGACTTTAGTGAGGGACAATAAGAAAGTGAGGAGAAATGACAATAAGACTTTAGTGGGGAGAAAGGACAATAAGACTTTAGTGAAAAGAAAATAAGACTTTAGACAATAAGACTTTAGTGTAAGACTTTAGGGGAGAAAGGACAATAAGACTTTAGTGGGGAGAAAGGACAATAAGACTTTAGTGAGGAGAAAGGACAATAAGACTTTAGTAAGAGGAGAGAAAGGACAATAAGACTTTTAGTTTAGTGAGGAGAAAGGACAATAAGACTTTAGTGAGGAGAAAGGACAATAAGACTTAAGTGGGGAGAAAGGAAAATAAGACTTTAGTGAGGAGAAAGGACAATAAGACTTTAGTGAGGAGAAAGGACAATAAGACTTTAGTGGGGAGAAAGGAAAATAAGACTTTAGTGAGGAGAAAGGACAATAAGACTTTAGTGAGGAGAAAGGACAATAAGACTTTAGTGGGGAGAAAGGAAAATAAGACTTTAGTGAGGAGGACAATAAGAAGGACAATAAGACTTTAGTGAGGAGAAAGGACAATAAGAGTGAAGAAAGGACAATAAGACTTTAGTGAGGAGAAAGGAAAATAAGACTTTTAGTGAGGGGACAATAAGACTTTAGTGAAAAAGGACAATAAGACTTTAGTGAGGAGAAAGGACAATAAGACTTTTAGTGAGGAGAAAGGACAATAAGACTTTAGTGGGGAAAATAAGACTTTAGTGAGGAGAATAAGACTTTAGTGGGGAAAAAAATAAGGACAATAAGACTTTAGTGAGGAGAAAGGACAATAAGACTTTTAGGGGAGAAAGGAAAATAAGACTTTAGTGAGGAGAAAGGACAATAAGACTTTAGGGGAGAAAGGACAATAAGACTTTAGGAAAGGAAAAAAGGACAATAAGACTTTAGTGAAGAAAGGACAATAAGACTTTAGTGGGGAGAAAGGAAAATAAGACTTTAGTGGGGAGAAAATGACTTTAGTGGGGATAAAACAATAAGATTGATGAGGAGAAAGGACAATGAACCAAGAAACCAGGAGAGAGTTCCACAGGCGAGAAGTTCGAAAAAAAAGAAACCATTACACTAGAATTTTCTGCAGCAATTTCAAACTTTCAAGAAATGACAATAAGAAGAATACTAAGACTTTTAGAATTAACCAAAAATGACAATAAAACAACTGATTGTTGCCAAACTAAACGGACATTGAAAAAAAGAAACCATTACACTAGAACTTTCTGACGATCAACTTTCTGAAGAATACTAAGAATTAACCAAAATAAGAAAACTAAACGGACATTGAAAGGAGTGAGACGATCGAAAGTACGAGAACAAACCGAGAGAATAAAGATGAGATTCGCAATGTTTATTCCAAACATTGACGAAAATACAATAAACAATTACACAGACAAACCTTTTCTGTTGAAATTTAATCAAAACTTTCTGGGTGCATACTTGCTAGCTAAATATATATTATTTAAATTCTATCTATCTATCTATCTATCTATCTATCTATCTATCTATCTATCTAAGTCAATTTATAGCTATCTATTTATCTATTGATGTAAGTTTATTCATATCTATTTTAGTAAGTCTGTTCATATCTATCTATCTTTTTATCCATCTTTGATGTAAGTCTATTCATTATCTATCTATCTATCTATCTATCTATCTATCTATTGATGTAAGTTTATTCATATCTATCTATCTATCTATCTATTGATGTAAGTTTATTCATATCTATCTATCTATCTATCTATCTATCTATCTATCTATCTACTGTTGTAAGTCTATTCATATCTATCTGAGTAAGTCTATTCATATCTATCTATCTATCTATCTATCTATATATCTATCTATCTATCTATCTATCTATCTATCTATCTATCTATCCATCTTTTAAGGTAAGTCTATTCATTATCTATCTATCTATCTATCTATCTATCTATCTATCTATCTATCTATCCATCTTTTAATGTAAGTCTATTCATTATCTATCTATCTATCTATCTATCTATCTATCTATCTATCTATCTATCTATCTATCTCAGTCTATTCATATCTATCTATGTGTCTATTGATATCTATCGATATGTCTGTTCATATCTAAGTCTATTCATTATCTATCTATCTATCTGTATATATGTATATATATGTGTGTGTGTGTGTTTGTGTGTGTGTGTATTTGTGTGTGTTTGTGATTATATCGTCACGGCATCAATTATCGTTTACTTATAAAGAGACTGAAATGTTGCCGGTGATATTTGTCTAGAGTTAAGTACTTTTGGTTTGTAGCCACGCTGAGAAGTAGCGAGGTACGTGGATTTTGTAACTTGATTGCGAAGCCTATAGACTTAAGTAGGTGTGTAGTTAAGCGGATTTGGAGTCAAGTAGATAAATACGTAGGAGGATGAGGGGAAACGTTGAGTCAATGGCGACGTTGAACACATAGTGAGAGAGAGAGAGAGAGAGAGTGAGAGGGAAATAGAGAGAGAGAGCGAGAGTGAGAGAGTGAGAGAGACTTATAGTCTCGTTCGATTTGTAGCCGAGACTCTCGCCATGAACGTAGATGCACGTGGAAAGAACGAGAAGAAATCAAAAAGTGACTGATGATATTGAAAAATCAAATTAAAAAGGAATAAAAAAAAATATGTGAGGAAATCGAAAAACAACAAAAAAAAAAATGAAATAATTAAATGCTGAAAAAAATTCCCATTAATTTGCGTTGATTGCGGGCTTTAAAAAGTGAACGATCGAACATGTGGTGTCTACCATAGAGCGATCGTTACAAAACAATTTCGAGTATCGGGTATTCAAACCAGCTACGTTTTTATGTTAGACCAAACCAACATAGTAAATAATAATACCGACTTAATATAGTGATTTCGATTCTCTAAGGGTACTCCACATTTGTAGCCTTGAGCCAGACTAAGCGAAAGAATCACTTTTGATAGTTTAACATTTAGCAAGCATGGCTCGTGTGCAATTTGTAATATCTTTGATTTAGCTTTGTATGAGATTTAAATAAACATGAAAGATTTGTGAAGAGTGTATTCGTAAATTTCGTAAAATATTTCTTGTATAGTTCGCTAGGTCCTTAGGGCGGCTATTTTGACGACTGCATCTCTTGCAGAGTGGTATGACTCCAGCTAAATACATCTACGAAATAAAGACCCAAGTATAAATAATCAATATTGACCAGTTTCCAAACAAAATAAATTCTTGTAGACTCAAAAATAAATGACAAGCATTTACCTATCCCGTAACCTAGTAAATGTTTATAGACTCAAATAGAAATGACTAATTTTTACGTGTGTTCAAACCAAGGAAGGGCCTACAGACTCAAATATAAACGGCTAATATATACCTATCCTTGAAACAAGTAAATAATTATAGCCTCAAATATAAATGGACGACATTTAACTATCACCGAACCACGTAAATGTTATACTCCTAAATATAACTGAACAATATTTACAGGTCTTCGAACCAAAGAAAAGGTTACAGACTCTAATATAAACGGCTAATATATACCTATCCTTGAACCAAGTAAATACTTATAGCCTCAAATATAAATGGCCAACCTATCCCCGATCCACGTAAACGTTATACTCCCAAATATAACTGACCAATATTTAAATGTCTTCGAAACAAAAAAGGCTTACAGACTCAAATATAAACGGCTAATATGCACCTATCCTTGTGTCAAGTAATTACTTATAACCTCACATATAAATGGGCGACATTTTCCTACCCACGAAGCACGTAAATGTTATACTCCCAAATATAACCGAACAATATTTACAGGTCTTCGAACCAAAGAAAAGGTTACAGACTCTAATATAAACGCCTAATATATACCTATCCTTGAACCAAGTAATATGTATAGCCTCAAATATAAATGATTAACCTATCCCCGAAGCACGTAAATGTTATACTCCCAAATAAAACCGAACAATATTTACAGGACATGACTGAGATATAATTTAAAAACAAAGGTCGATATGGATGTTAACTATAACCCAATATGCCATAAAACCAACCTACCCAACTTATTTGTTTGTACCAGACGAAGGTAAGTTTTTTTTTTTAATAAATGAGGGGAATTTCACTTAGTGTAGGTCGAAGGTCAGCCAGCTTTTTTCCGTTGATTATTGTTCGTACAACTGAAACTTGGATAGTTGTAGGGCGCTTGACGCAGATATGGGAAAGTAGGCAGGATGGTCGTGTAAATGAGTATTCTATCTAATTTAAGCGAATATAACAATAAAATGCAATTTTCTTTCGAGTTGAGAGTCGGGCTGACTCCTGTAAGAAATAATAATATCCTACAAAACTTTGTTTTTTTATCTAACTTCGAGTTCTGACTTATATATTTCACCGGTTGCTTATCGGCACCAACATTAGATACGAGAAACAATATATTCTGGTTTGAAGGTTGGCAGTCTTTTCTTTATTTTATTCCAAAGTAACAGAAAAGTCTGCTGAATTCTTTGGAACATATAGTGAGGAAAAAGGCTTTGGAAATTTAACACTCACAGGGCACATTTGGAAGCAACAGAAGCAAAGGAAAGCAGTGAGAAACCTTGACAAGTGAATGAATATGGAGAGACAAAGGCCATAAAGACAAAGAAGGGCCCATTATGGGGAAAGACTTGTGGAGAGCAATAGGAAGATGTGAAGACACATGATCTCTCACTTCCTGCACTTTCATTCTTATATAGACGATTACTCTGGTGAAATGTTAGGGTAAAATGCACAACGAAAAATTTACATACATATATAACAGAAAAAAACGATTAAACGCTGGCAAAATTAAAAATATATATATATATATATATATATATATATATATATATATATATATATATATATATATAGATAGATAGATAGATAGATAGATAGATAATATTAGTGGTAAATATACACATACTTATGCAAAATATATAAATATATATACATAGGTGCATACACATACATGTATATTTTTTAATAAAAAATTCCAAGAGGATAGAATCCAGGTAGAACTCAATGTCCAGGACAAAGTAAGGATATAATAAAAAGGCTTAAACACTAATATTCCATGGTCATAATTTATTCCATTGGAATCGTAAATACGATCTAATTCATCAGCCCTACAAATTCCAAAAGAAAACAGAAAAAACAACTCCGGAAATAAAAAATAGAATTTAGAGAGAGTGTAAGTATGAGAGTGTGGGACGAATGTTAGAGCTAAAGAGAGGGGTAACAGACGAGAGAAGGTGGGAGATTAAACCTTAACAGAGAGAAGTTTTAGAGAGGTGAGTTGAAGAGGTTGGTTTTTTCTGTTTTCTTTTTGAATTTGTAGGTCTGATGAATTGGATCGTATTTATGATTCCAATGGAATAAATTATGACAAGGGATATTAGTGTTTAAGCCTTTTTATTATATATATATATATATATATATATATATATATATATATATATATATATATATATTAGGTTGGTGAAAAAATAAAGACGTAATAATGTCGTTTTTGACGTAAAAAATACGTCAAAAACGACATTATTTCGTCATTAATTTTGCACCAACCTAATATATATATATATATATATATATATATATATATATATATATATATATATTCAAACATGTTTCTTTGAATATAGACATATTACGTTTATTTATTTTTATATAATTCTTTCCAGTTCCCTAAAGAGTTTCTTGATGTTAAAATAAAATTTATTAAGGAAGGCGCCGTAGTTGTTTCCCCTTTAAATAGCAGCAACGTGCTGAAGTGCATGTAGCAAATATCTAATGCAAATTTTGCATTCTGCCAACTTCCGGTCAGCCCCCTTATATTGGGACGCTTCTTTTGCAAAAAAAATTCATAGCTGCAATGGATAAATTTAACATTTTAAAACAATTATAACAGCGCGTTCATACGTGTTTTTTTTTTGTTTTTTTTAAATGCCCTTGGCAATGAAGTTCAGATTTTATCACTGTTACAATACGTTTTTCTTTGTAATTCACTCCTGACGATGATCTTAGAGGAGATCGAAAGGTACTTAGGTATGAAAAAATTACGGCGCCTTCCTTGATGAATGTCATCTCATCACTAAGAAACTAATTTAAGAACTGGAAAGGATTATTATAAAAATAAATAGACACAATGTCTATATTATTCAATGAAACAGGTTTGAATGAAGATATTCTACCTATATATATATATATATATATATATGTGTGTGTGTGTGTGTGTGTGTCTGTGTGTGTGTGTGTGTGTGTGTGTGTGTGTGTGCAGGCTAACGTCAATAAACAAGATACATAGATATGAACAGACTAAGATAGATAAACAGATCGATAGTGTACAGGTTATCGACGTGGAAATCAGATTCGGCGAACCTATTTCGAATTCCGATTGATTCTGTTTTGTTAAGAAGGACACATGACTCCCCAGCTATGGGTTAAATAGCAATGCGTACAGGGCTCTCTTGTTTTGAGTAACAGCTAACGTTAGAAAACGAAAATTATGGATTCACACCTTAGGAGGGAAATTTGGAGCGTGTGGACACTTCTACGAAAATCTTCTCGTGCCGCGTCACTTCCGAACCTAAACTTTCATGACTCTCCACAACTTCCTATCTCGTGTGGCTTTTAGCAGGTTTTCTCATTTACACAAGATCTTCATTTAAGTAGCTTTCTATCTTCCCCTGTCTTTCTTGCCCTGGGTATGCCTCGTGGGGGTTAAGCCTTCTTTTCTCATTATGTGTTGAAGGAATTTTACCTGTCTTTTCTTGATTTTCAATATAAATGTTCTTTCTGTTGCCATTTTCCTTAAGTTTTCTTTGCTGGTTAATCGCAGCAGATACAGGATTTTCAACATCCTTCTTGAAAACCACATCTCCACTGCCTCTAGTTTTATTTACGTTAATCAAATCATCTGTGTGGGTAGCCTACTGTTTTTCTTCTAAACTGAAATGTTAGGTCCTCATCCGTTGAAAATCGACAAGGGAACTCTTCATATAATATTCAATATTTACTATCTGACAATCTTCTCGCAGATGAAGAAGAGATATGAAGCAAGAAAAATGTGGTTTTACAGAGTGTTGCTGAGTATAAAATGGACCGCACATTTGAGCAAAGACGAAGTTATAAAATTTTAAAGAAAATAGAAACAAAAAGGACATTTATATTTAATATCAGAAAGAGATAGATGAAATTTCTAGGGCACACCATGAGGAAATTAGGCTCGGAAAATTTGACACTCCCAGAACAGATTGTAGACAGAGGAAAACAGCACGTAACGTACCTAAGGGGATTGTGTAAATGGGTGGGAAAACAGTGTTTAGGGGAGATAATAAAAAGACAAAACTTGCTAAAAATTACAAAGGTTTGGAAATTTTGGATGGGCATGATCGCCAACGTCCTGAAGGGGGACATCACATAGGGAAAAAAGAAGAAAATAGGGAGATGGGTAGAGTAAGAGAAAGATAGTTAATAGACACAGACATAGGAGACACTGCATGGGGGCTGTCAGTTCCATAATAATATAATAAATGTAATAAATATATACGTAATTACAAATATATATATATATATATATATATATATATATATATATATATATATATATATATATATATATATACGTTAATATATAATACGACATCACAATATCCTTTATAAATTATAAAGGAATAATATACTCGTCAATGTGTGTCTATTAAGGGCTGGACATTCTACGTCCTACTTACTTCACAAAATCACATCAATTGACGAAACATTACTTTATATTGGTAATTAGTTTTTGTCCGGCCGAGAACTTTTTTACTCCTACATTGTCAACACACACACACACACACACATATATATATATATATATATATATATATATATATATCCATCCATTCCTTAATCATTAGTATTAATTAAATTTAAACGCTTATTTTTTTTATACACCAGAAATAAATCGTTTTTTTTTTAGCTTTTAAAATGCCATATAAATTTTTGCTTATTCCTAGCTATCGTTAAATTTTGTACCATAAAAACTTATATATATATATATATATATATATATATATATATATATATATATATATATATAGATAGATAGATAGATAGATATGTATGTATGTATAAATATATATATTTGCCTCACCTGTAAAAAACGACTCTGAGTTGCATGCCCAATGCAATATTTAGGTGCTGAGTCCTGTTCAAGATTGCGTTGTGCACGAATCTCCTATATATATTTATGTAAATATATATATATATATATATATATATATATATATATATATATATATATATATATATATATATATATATATATATATATATATATATATATATATATATATATATATATATATATATATATATATATATATATATATGTGAATGAGAGTTACGCATATTTCAAGGCATAAAAATTCAGATTGGCCCAAAAGATTAATTTAAAACAATAGAATTATTATAAATTATTCTTAACATGTTCTAGATTTTGATGATCTCTTCCGGGGAACTTTCCATTTGCAACATGGGAAAATACATCCGCTGTTTCCTTGATAGGAAATCTCCACCGAGAATTTACGCGGCATGCGATTCGTTTAATTTTTTTTTCTTTGTTCCATTTCTCTATTCGATAAAGTATAAATAGTTTACATAAAAAAAGTATAAAGGAAGGTAAAATACGCAATTTCTTCATACTAAAGCCACTGATCGGAGAGACAGTCTCTTTGTCTAAGTGTGGGGTGTGTAAATATGTGATTCTGAAAAATCTAAGTGATCGTTGTGTCGGCACTTCTGAATACATATCGATCGAAAGGTGGAATTACACGTCGGGGTACATTTTCTCACTACATAAAATAAAAAAAATAGTTCCAATATCAGAGAAAATTTGATGAACAGAATATAGATTGGAATATTCTAAGGTTGTGCATTTTTTAAAAGACAACCGAATATCTATCTATCTATCTATCTATCTATCTATCTATCTATATATATAATAATCTTATAAATATAAGTAAGTATACTCGTCCAGAAAAATCTTAGGTGTTTTCGCTTGTAAATGAACAAAACAATACCCAAGGAAAAATAAGGAATAAAAAAAGAAAGAACTAAGAACATGTAATTCAGGCGAAAACAATCGTCCAGAATCCAAGCTCAGAGTTCAAAGAAAAAACCTCCAACCCGGGTATAGCAAAAATAACTAAGCAAAGTGCCCAATACACTAAGTAGATCAAATCTAACTATGAACCTAAAGAGCCAGGCAAACCTACCTAGGTTTCATCCACGCGGATCGTCAGGGTACGCTGATCCTGATGACCCGCGTAGGTGAAACCTAGGTAGGTTTGCAGGGTACTTTTGGTTCATAGTATATATATATATATATATATATATATGTATGTATTCTGTTGTCTTTTAAATTTTTCGTCTCAACTAAGAAATTAGTAAAAAAGTAATTCCCATCTTTGTTCATTTGTTTATTTATATATATATATATATATATATATATATATATATATATATATATATATATATATATATATATAATATAATAAAATAAGGAACAAATAGTAAATGTTTCTAGATTTAACATGTTACCGTTTTGTTTTAATGTTTTATTTGTTTTATTAAACGTTTTCTCTTTGTTTCTCATCTTATCAGTCTGTCGCATTCTAATCCATATTTGATCCCAATTCATATACATAGACACACACACGCGCATATATATATATATATATATATATATATATATATATATATATATATATATATATATATATATATTTATGTATGGATGATGTATATGTATGTATTTGTGTGTGTCTGTATATATATATATATATATATATATATATATATATATATATATCGACTCTCCTTCGAGATTTGACGTATGAGGGTCAAGCAGATATATATATATATATATATATATATATATATACATTTCTAAATAGTGTGACGAATTGGAAAAAGTTTTAGTGACGCGTTTGATCCATTAGGATTTCATCAGAATTTTTCTTTGTTGATGTTGCCGCTACACATGCGCACGAAACGAGAGACGCTGGTAGTTTCAAAATTTTTAAAATAATATTTTTCTCAATCTAGCCAAATTCAGCAGTATTCTTTTCTCTCCATCAACTTTGTCCCTGACTATCCCACACCGTGACAACAGAAAATCTAGCAAGAATGGTGATATATTGTAAAAGCCTGGGCGCAAATTTCCCGGGGATGAACTAGCGATCAAGGTAATTACTATATATCTTTGTGTCAGTGGATTATTTTCTCTTTTAATCAAAGTAGCTTTCCTTAAGTCAAAATTGTTGTCCTTTTCGTTACGCTAAACAACCAATGCTTTTTGTGTTTTGTTTTTTTAAAATGTCCCCTTTGTGTTCATATAGTCTCTACTTTAAAGACCTTGAAGCTTCTCCAATGTATTCATTCTGGAAATTCTTGCATTTGAGTAAATTCCTCCCTCAAACACACACATACATATATATATTTTATGGCAAAAACAAACAAACAAAAACACAAAGAGCAGTCAGATATATAAACCGGTGTTCTGATTGATATTTTTATTTTTTCATAACAGTGCTCAATGTAAATTTACAGAGCATTAATATTATAAATTAACTGATTTAAAACATGGTAATTCCTGTGTAGCGAAGTAACCATAGTTTAAAATCACTTAATTTATAATATATATATATATATATATATATATATATATATATATATATATATATATATATAAGGAAATAAGAAAATAAAATGAATCAGTTCACTTAATATAAATCTGAACACAAAGTTAAACGAAATATTTCCTATTCAAACCTCGGTGTTTTTTTATTGCACTAAGTCTATTTACAGATCATGTTTTTCTTTACACATACCCAGTGACACACAAAGACGAGCGTGCACATGCACCCTCCCACACACAAACACACACACACATACAAATATATATATATATATATATATATATATTTATATAAAAGGGAAGAGGTTATAGCAGTTCGAACGAGAGAAAAGTGTGTATAATAAAAAGAAGAGACAAACTGCAAACGTTTTTAGTTGTAATGTGGTCTTTTTAAATAATATATTATGTTTTATTTTCCATAATTTTGCTACACGTGTTTCTGCCAGGCAAAGAGTGGATATTTTCACATATTATTAAAAGGAATTAAATTTTATATATATATATATATATATATATATATATATATATATATATATATATATATATATATATATATGTAATATTAGAAATTGCAGTCTTTATTGATTTGGTACATGTTATTTGTATGCTTAGTCTGTCATTATTTATAATGTTGTTACTTTCTTACTTTGGTTTTCATAGGAAATTCCTCTAATATCTACAATATTAGTTTATATATAATGCAAAACGACACCTTACAAATCCACAAAAAAAAATAATAGTAATCTTGATAAGACTGGTCATATAATACAACCCACGAATCCTACAATGACGACAACTAAAAGAAATTCAAACTTAATAAAAAATTCATAAGTGATATATATATATATATATATATATATATATATATAGTTTATGCAAAACTAGGTAATCCGTATGGGTAGACACAACACAAGGAGGGTGATATCCAGAGAGCTCAATGTAAATTCAGAGCAGATATATTTGAATAAAAACAGACCACTTTAAAGTGGTCTGCTTTTATTCAAACATATATATATATATATATATATATATATATATATATATATATATATATATATACATACAAGCATATATTAACAAAGAAAGGCCATAAAGGGATGAGGAAGATGTGAAGAGACATGAGCGCCCACTTCCTGGACATTAAATTCTTATATCCGATGAGCTAAATGCTTCCATACATATATACATACATATGTGTGTGTAAACCTCCCCTGTGTTTATAGAATTATATATATATATATGTGTGTGTGTTGTGTGTCTGTGTATATATATATATATATATATATATATATATATATATATATATATATATATATATACATTATGCTTGAAATTTTTGCGATAATTAGTAATGTTCAACTTCTGCAGTCAGGAGAATTAACCACGCACATGCATACGCACACAAACATACATTGCTAATGCACGAAGATAGATAGATAGACACTTAGATAGATAGATAATGAACAAGCTGAGATAGATAGATAGATAGAACAGACTGAGATAGATAGATAGATAGATAGAACAGATGAGATAGATAGATAGATAGATAGATAGATAGATATGAACAGACTGAGATAGATAGATAGATAAATAGATAGATAGATAGATAGATAGATAGATAGATAGATAGATACCGGTGGAGGTAATTAGTGTTGACTTCGAACTTCAGAAAGGCATGAATACATCTGTCCTAGCAGGTCAGGTTCGGAAGGTCAGAACGTACTGCACATTACCAGTACCATGTAACACAATGAATCATGTTGCATTTTATCGAGAGAGAAGATGGGCCTCTCCCGGAAATACAAATATATAGTAAAAATTTAAATTAAATGTCCAACTTATCGGCCCACATTCAAATTTCAACCAAATGTATCCACTCATCAGGACAGCACGACAATTTTTTTGTTTTTTTATTATATATAAATGTGTGTTTAGTTAGAGATAAACGGATATACACATATATTCATACATGTATCAATTCATTTATAATTACTTTATATATATATATATATATATATATATATATATATATATATATATATAGAGAGAGAGAGAGAGAGATAGATAGATAGATAGATAGATAGATAGATAAATGATAATACGTTCAAATATATGTTAATATATAATAATCCTTCATAAAAGTCTGTATGAATTATAAAAGAATAATATATAGACCAATGTAAGCAAATCAATCACACACACACAAACAAATACACATATATATATATATATATATATATATATATATATATATATATGTGTATGTGTGTGTGTGTGTGTGTGTGTGTAGCTATTTCTTTTTTATATAAATACGTAGGCAAGCATATTTGCAATACAAAAAAAAACATATATCTCTCTTCGAACAACTTTTATAATCACATAAAACAAATCTAACCACGCGTATATACGGATGTATATATTAAATAGACTTTACATGCATTTACTATTAAACAGTGACATATTTAGAAAAGAACAAATCCACATCAACAAGATAGATATATTTACATAGGTTTTCAGTTTGCATCATTGCATCGAGGTTCAAGTAAGTAACCGCACTTTAAAAATCATACGAAATCACAGACATAATATTACAAACCAACAATATATATATATATATATATATATATATATATATATATATATATATATATATATATATATATATAATATACGTGTACGTACCTTTTCTTTACTGTCCGTTAAGGTTGTGGTGCTTCTGTGTCGTCTTGCATTACATGTAACTGCCAAATAACGACTTTTAAGTGTCGTTTTTTTTATTTTTGTATGTTTTTTTTAAGCTTCAAGTGTTGTGTTTTGAAGTGTGGGTAAATGTGTTTGTTTTGGTTGTGTTTTCTTTAAATTACGTGTTTGAACGTAAAAGGCTGTGGTTCCCGCTCACGTCTGGTGCGAAACCACGCGTAAATTTGGTATTGTGCAGGGTAATGAGGTGTTGTGGGAGAGAGTGCGTGCGTTTCCGACACGGTTGTTGTTGGGGGTTTCGTCACAGCGTACGGAATACGGCGTAAGTCTGTTTCAGTAGCAAACAGATAGAGAGAAGAGACAAGAGAGACAAAGATAGGCAGTGAGAAAAAGAGTGTAAGCGGGAAAGAATTGGAAAGAAAGGCGGGGAAACAAGCAGCAAGATCTGTTAGAGGGCGAGACAGGGTAAAAGAATTGTCGAAAGAGTGTTTGTTTAATATTAAAGAAGGAAAAGAAGAGGAAAAAGTAAGAGAGAAAAAAGAGAATAATAAGGAGAAGAATTTATAAAAGAGAAAAAAGGGAATAGAGAGATAGATTTTGCGA